ACCGGCTCGCCGCCACCGCGCAAGGTGGTCTTCGCCAAGGGCGTCACCTTCAAGGGGGCGGTCAAGGTGGCCAACGCGGGGCCCGAGCCAAAGACGCTCAAGGCGGGCACCTACCAAGACCAGACCGTCGAGCTCTGAGCCAGAGCCAAGAGCCCGGCCCCCGAGGCGCGTCACGCGGGCCGGAGGCCGCCGCCGCCGGCCTCGACGGCTGCGCCCCTCTCTCCTCCCTCCGCCGCTCTGTCCACGCCTCCCCCTTTCGGTACTTGGGGCTCTTTGAGGCCCCACGGGACGGGCCACTCAGTCGTGTGTTGGTGGCCACAATTTTTTGGATGAATGTGTATTGGTGATGGCCGAGCTTCGGCCTTACGCCGCCCACACCGCCGAACCGCCGTGTCTCTGCTATCTGAGTCGCGGTCGGGCTCTTTTTTGTTTGTGCTGTGTGGTGGCGGGGGAGGCGTGAGAGACTAAAAATCTAATGAAAATAGCAGCGTAATCGACTCTCTCTCATTTCACACACAGAATCTTACGCCGAAGACGCGGCCTTGCCATGACACCGTTTGAACTTTAGACCCGAGCCGCAAGCGCATCGCTCATTCGGGCCCTGCTTCGGCCGACTGGCGGCGAGCGCTCGCTTGCACGCCAGCACGACTTGCAGAGCGGCGCGTGTGTTCGGGTGGCTGTCGCCCAGCACGGCTCGAAACCCCTCGAGCGCCTCGCGACTCAGGGGCTCCGCACCGTCCAGGTCACCCTTCTTCTGCAGCAGCGTGCCGAGGTTGTTGATCGAGCCGAGCGTGCTCGGGTGCCGGTCGCCGAGCGTCTCTCGGAACCCCTTTAGCGCCTCGCGGTACAGCGCCTCCGCGCCGCCCAGGTCGCCCTTGGCGTACAGCAGCAAGCCGAGGTTGTTGATCGAGACGAGCGTGTTCGGGTGCCGGTCGCCGAGCGTCTCTCGCTGCGCCTCCAGCGCCTCGCGACTCAGCGGCTCCGCACCGTCCAGGTCACCCTTCTTCTGCAGCAGCAAGCCGAGGTTGTTGATCGAGACGAGCGTGTCCGGGTGCCGGTCGCCGAGCGTCTCACGCTGCGCCTCCAGCGCCTCGCGACTCAGCGGCTCCGCACCGTCCAGGTCGCCCTTGTCCTTTAGCAGCATGCCGAGGTTGCTGATCGAGACGAGCGTGTTCGGGTGCCGGTCGCCGAGCGTCTCCCGCTGCGCCTCCACCGCCTCGCGACTCAGCGGCTCCGCGCCGTCCAGGTCACCCTTGACGTACAACAGCCCGCCGAGGTTTTTGATCGAGGTGAGGGTGCTCGGGTGCTTGTCGCCGAGCGTTTCCTGCATCGCCACCAGCGCCTCGCGGTACAGCGCCTCCGCGCCGTCCAGGTCGCCCTTGTCCCTGCCAAGCAGCGTGCCGAGGTTGTTGATCGAGGAGAGCGTGTTCGGGTGCTTGTCGCCGAGCGTTTCCTGCATCGCCACCAGCGCCTCGCGATACAGCGCCTCCGCGCCGTCCAGGTCGCCCTTGGCCTCCAGCAGCGAGCCGAGGTTGTCGATCGAGGTGAGCGTGTCCGGGTGCCGGTCGCCGAACGTCTCGCGCGTCGTCGCCATCGCCTCGCGAAGCAGCGCCTCCCCCACCTCCCAGTGAGCCATCCCACCCTTGTCGCGGTGCCACCCGCCAAGGCCGTGTGCCAGCCCCGCCTGCCCAAGCGGCGACAGCACGCCCGCCTCGTGCAGCGCCTCGGCGCATGGCTGCAGCGCGTCGACCTCCTCTCGGTGGCTGTGCCTGTGAGCACGCGACGCGAAGCGACGCCGCAGCACAGCCAGCAACGCCCCCCACTCCGCCAGCGACCGCTCCGGCAGCAGCTCCTCCGCGGTCGGTGCACGCGTCAGCACGTGCCTCGCCGACCGCTGCACGAGCTGGTGCATGTGCAAAGCGCCACCGCCCTCGATGCGAACCAGTCCCACCGCCTCCAGCGCCGCAGCGGCGGGTGCGAAGCTGCCGCTGTCGCCAAACAGCGCGCCGCCGCCCATGCCAGAGCCCTCGCCCAGCCCCTCCCGCGACGCAAACAGCCGCGACGGCACGCCGTCCGCATTCAGCACCGACAGCATCGCCAGCAACGACCGCGCCGCACCCACCTCCACCTCCAAGCCGCACTCGTCAAGCCGCCTTATCAGCTCCCGCACAGCGCCGTGCCGCCGCCGCACGCACCGCTTCTGCACGTCGTGCGCCTCCTCCAGACTCGGCATCGGCTCCGCCCGCCACCGCCGCATGACGCCTCGCGCCTGCTCCAGCGCCGTCTCAGTCACCGCGCCGTCCGGCCCCTTCTTGTCCTGCAAGCCGACGAAGGCGCTCTTGAGCAGCGCCACGTCGAGAGGGAGCTGCGCCCTCGCCGCGCCGCCCTGCCCGCTGCTCAGCTCCTCCTCCAAGTAGCACCGCATTCCAACCTCCTCGTCGTCCATGATCGCATCTCCTATCGGCGGCCGCCCCGCCGCCAGCAGCTGCATCGACTCGTCCGTGCTCAGCCCTCCCACCTCCCACGCCGCCACCTCCTCCGGCCACGCCTCCCGCCGCTGGCTCGTCAGCAGCACCCGCCCCGCCACTCGCCCGTCGCTCCCTCGCGGCAGCAGCGCAAGCACGCCGGCCAGCGCCGCCTCGCCCGCCCCGATGTCGTCCACTATCAGCAGCCAGCCGCTGCTCTCCGCAAAGTGCCGCCGCGCCGCCTCCACCGCCTCCTCCTCCTCCGCGTCCGCCGCCAAGCCGGTCGCGTGCGTGCGAGCGAAGCGGGCCAGCTCCTGCCGGAACGTCAGCGGCGAGCTGCCCTGCATGAACTCCTGCCAGGGCAGCTCAGCTTGCGTCGCGAACCCGACCGCGATCGCCGCGACCGTCTTGCCGGCGCCAGACTCGCCGTGCAGCGCCGCGACGCAGTGCGCAGAGTCTCGCAGCAGCGCCGCTACCTCCTCCACCAAGCTGTCGCGGCCGACGAGGTAGCCGTGCGCGCCTCGCGGATCGCGGAAGCCGATGCGGAGGCTGCTCGCGCTGGGAGGGCCTCGCAAGTTCACCGGCACCGCCACCGCCGCCCCTCCCCTCGCCGCCGCCAGCTCCCGCATTCGGCCCGCCGGCAGCTGCAGCGAGTCAAACGCGCCGGCCAGCTCGCATACCAACCCGCCGACCCGCGCCCAGTCGAAGCGGTCCAGCTTTCCGTGCTCGCGGTCGTGCCTCGCCGCCAGCAGCGCCCCCGCCTTTCCCATCAGCGGCTCGAGGGACGCCTTCTTCTTCGCCGCCGCCGGCCACCTCTTCTTGAGCTCCTTGCCGTGGCTCATCAGCACGGCGCAGATGGACTTGCCGCCGCCCGGTGGCGTCCCCGCCAGGTCCATCGGCAGCTTCAGCCACGGCGGCGGCACGCCCTCCCACCGCTCGCAGATGGCGCCGCCCAGTGCCGCCGCCGCGTGCTGCAGGGCGCTCTCCAGCACCGAGTGGCGCAGCTGCTCGTCGCTGAGCTCGACGGTCAGGTCGACGACGAGCGGCGTGCCCTCGCTCATCACGCTCGACGGGCTGCCCGGCTCGGCGCGCCGCTCCGCCTCGGCAATGCGCTGCAGCAGCGGCAGGGCCAGGGCCGCCTCGCCGACGCCCTCTCCGTGCGCTCGCAGCACCTCGAGGACGGCCTTGCTGCCGGCGAGGCACTCGGAGACGGAGGGCTGGCCGAGCGACGGGTGGGCCAGGCTGTTGCGCAGGAAGCCGACGTGGTGCACGCGGTTCCGGTAGATCTCGCTAGCCGCATCGCTGGCTCTCGCGGGCGGCGGCTTGAAGGCGTCGAGGTGGCGCTGGATGACCTCGCCGAGGCGGTAGGCGTCCCACTCGTCGAGGTAGTCCGAGTGAAAGGTGCGCGCAAAGTCCTTGCTCAGGCACTTGCGGCACTTTTGCGCCCAGCGAGGCACGTAGTCGTGCTTTGTCTTGAGCCGCTCCCGCTCCTCGGCCGCGACGCCTTGCGGCTCGTCGCCCCAGGTCTCGCGCGCCCACTGCTTGACGCGCGGCGTCAGCGCGGCCTCGAAGCGGCGGATGGCGAGCCGCAGCAACACGAGCGCGACGTGGGACGGCTCGAGGGATACGGAGTCCATACGCCCCCGTGGCCGCGTCTTCCCGCCGTCTACATCCGCCGGGGGTCGTGCGTGTTTCTTTTGAGCGAAATTGCAATAACTCTTTGTTGCAAACGCAGTGCGCGCCAGAATACGTGTTGTGTTGACTGGGGGGGGGGGGGGGGGTCCCAGGGGGGGGGGGGGTCCCAAGGGGGGGGGGGGGGCCCCGTTCCGTTTTCAATTTGGTTCCACGCTTGGGGCCCGCCCCGGGGGGCTGGGGGGGAACCCCGGGTCCCCTCCGGGGCCCCCGGGGAGGGGCGGGAAAACCCTTTTTTAGGGGCCCCCCCCCACCCCCCCTTTTGGCCCGGCGAGCGCACTTGCTGGTTCCCAGTCTCAAAAAGTAACCTCGGGATATGGCGGGATATGGCGGGATATATGGCGGGATACCGGGAGATACTGGGAGATGCCGGGTCCCGGGAGACACCAGGAGATACGAGATACGGGCAGATACGGGCAGATACGGGCAGATACGGGGAGATGCGAGGAGATGCAAGGAGATACGGGGAGATACAGTCAGATATTGGAGAGATACATCAAGACGATACCGCAAAAAAATCGTCCACACTAGGACTTACGGGTGGTGTCACCAACATGACCACTTTTGATGTTTTTTTCCCGCGTGAGGCGTGTTGCTCCCAGCGCCCTCACCCGCGCTTCCTGAGGCCAATGGCTGGTGCTACTAGTATGGGGGGCTACCTGGCTACCGCAAGAGCGACCTAACTCGTCGACATCCGTCCGATGATGGTGCCTCGAAAAGTCACTAGTCAGCCTCTTGTGACAGCTGACAGCGTTTTTGGTAGTTTTTGGAGGGTTTGCACCACAGACTTTTTGCAAGTCAGAGAATCTACAAAGGCATGCAGCACAGCGGGCGGCGCGCCCATATGCCCACAATTATATACACATACCCTGCCACTGCGGAGCCGACGCCGGCGACAACCGTCAACCCGCCGCGGACCGCCGCAAGGACCCGGAGGCGGCGGCAGAGCGGGAGAGGAAGGCCAAGGTGGCGAAGGTTGCCTCGCAGGCGACGAACGCAATGGCGACAGTGCGGGCGCAGCTCGATTTGCGCCCCAATTTGCGGGAGAAGGCTGAAGGGGGCAGCAGACAAGGCCGCGAACAAGGCCAACGACGACGCGGGGGCGCCGGTGAGGGCGTCGTCTACGATGGTCGAACGAGTGTTCGCCGCCCGCATCGACGGTCCGGACAGATACCTCGTGGCTCGACGAAAGGAGCGAAAGACGGCTGCCGGGAGCTGCCGGGGCTGGCACTGCTGCCGATATTTGGTGGCGGGTTGGAGAAGATGACGGACTCCGCCGTCAAAGCTGGCGAGGAGAGACGGCGCCGACGGCATCACGCAATAACCAAACAACTCTAAACACTCACACTTTCATCCCGGTTTGCCGCCCGACCCACTATAGAGGAAGCCCAAGGGAATCCATCGGCAACCAATAATTGAGGCGGCTCCAAGCGAACGTGGAACACAGTGGTGCCAGCCCCGCGACCAATTGTGGCCCGCCTTCGCGGCAGCCCCCGGGTTCTTAGGCCCGCCCCGGGGGCTTGAGCGAGCTCTCGACGATATCGCAACCACACGCGGCACCAGGCTCCAACCCGAGATGGGCCAATGGAGCGAGCCCACTTGTTTGGCGATTAGGCAACCACACGCGACACGAGCTCAAACCCAAGCCCCCCTGTAGTCCCTTAGCTGCCCGCGGAGAGCGGGCCTGCCAGTGAGTGGAGGCAAGCTGTTGGGGCTAGCCGGGACCTCGTGGCTGTCTGTGTATGCTCCTCCGAGCGCCAACCTCCGCTCAGCGTAAACTTGCGACGATGGCCGAGACCAAGCCGCTTCTGCGCGGCGTCGTCTTCGACATGGACGGCACACTAACGGTCCCCAACTTGGACTTTGGGGAGATGTACCGCCGTGCGGGCGTGCCGCGAGGCGAGGATATCCTGGCGACCCGCTGGCGCGCTGACGAAACCGCGTGCCGCGTCGTCGAGGAGATGGAGGCGGAGGGCCGCCGAACGCTTGCGCTGATGCCTGGCGCCGCCGAGCTGGCTGCGTGGCTCGAGGCGCACGGCGTGCAGTCGGCGCTGGTCACACGGAATAGCGATGCGACCGTCGCCCACTTCCACAAGAGTCTGTGGCGCAGCGCGCCGCTCTCGCCCGCGATCTCGCGCGACGCGGCGTGGCCGTCCAAGCCGGACCCTGCGGCGCTGCTGCACATTGGCGAGCTGTGGCGGGTCGGCTCGATGGAGGAGGTCTGCATGGTTGGGGACTCGCCCTCGAATGACGTCAGCTTCGGGCGCGCGGCCGGCGCGGCCACGGCCCTCCTCGACACGGGCAGGCGGCTGAGCGAGGGCGGCGAGACCAATGGCGCCGAGCTGGTCGTCTCGAACCTCGCGCAACTCGCCGCGCTCCTCTTCGGCTCCTTCCGGCTCGCCTCGCCGCTCCTCGAGCCGTCGCTGCATGCGAAGCGGCCGCCACCGTCGCCCGCCACCGCCGCCGCCGCCGCCGCCGCCGCTGGAGACACGGCCGCGCTCGCGTCGCTCTCCGCCGACAAGCTGGCGGCGCACGAAGGCGGGGCTCGAGCACGCACACGCACGCACGCACGCACCAACAAACGACCGCTCACACTGCTCGTCCAACTTGCCTGTGCCTCGCCGCCTAACCCCCCCACCCACCCACCCACCCACCCCTCAGGCGGACCCGGCTCGAACACGCCACTCATCTGGGCGGCCGAGCACGGGCACGCGCCGGCGATCGAGCTGCTGCTGCGCGCCGGCGCGGACGCAAACGCGCGCGGATACCTTGGCAACACGGCGGTCTCGCGCGCCGCCCGGCGCGGGCACACGGCTGCTCTCGAGGCTCTCCTCGAGGGCGGCGCGGACAGCGACGTGCCGAACGACAAGCTCCAGTTCCCGCTCCACTTTGCGGCGTTCAAGCTCAAGCCCGAGGCGGTGTCGCTGCTGCTGGAGCGCGGCGGGAGCCCGCTCGTCCTCGACCGGAAGGGTCGCACCGCCGCCGAGGACACGGCAGACGCCGCGATCCGAGACGAAATTCGCGCGGCGCAGGAGCGGCATATTGCGCGCGCCCTCCTTTAGCAAGCGGGGAGGCGGTGTGTGCTGTGTCTCCACTCGCTCCGCGCGGGGCCACACTGCACACATGTTCTGCTTTCTGGTCGTCGAGACCAGAGGTATAGAGGGTCCACACACCACAGCGCCCCAAAAGAAAAACCGGCGCCGCGTCGGCAACGTGGGAGCATGTCCACCGCACCGCGCCACTTCGTTTGCACTTCGCGGGGTCGCAGCGCTGTTGACTGTTGTCGGATGTCGCCAGAAACGCCGCTGTCCGACACAAGAATTTTACAATTCATCACAAGTCAACAAAGAAACCTGATCAGACCAAAGCGCAAAGGCCCCGCAGCCGCACACCACCCTCTTCACTGGCCTAGCTTCTGGCACATATGAAGGTCGCTGCGAGAATTGGAGAGGGACTGCGACGAGAGATAGGGAGAGGCAGAAGCCCGAGGGCAAACACGGGAGACTGCTCTGTGAGAAAGGGGTGTGCTAGCCCGCCCCCACCCCTCCCCCCCTCACTCCCGCGACCACACCTCGATCTTCTTGGGCAGCAGCTGGTCCGACAGGTCCTCTCCGTGGCCTAGGCAGCCGTGGCCGCCGTGGCCCCAGGTAAGGACAGCGCTGTCGGCGGTGAGGGTGAGGCTGTGGCTCTCTCCAGCCGACAAGGCGACGACGCGCTGGCCAGCAAAGGCCTCGACCTTCTTGGGCAGCGGCTGGTCCTGCCAGTCGCCGTGGCCCAGCTTGCCATAGTCTCCATCGCCCCAGCTCCAGACAGCGCCGTCGGCAGTGAGGGCGAGGCTGTGGTCGTGTCCCACTGACACAGCGACGACGCGCAGCCCAGCAAAGGCCTCGATCTTCTTGGGCAGCAGCTGGCTCTGCTGGTCGCCGTGGCCCAGCATGCCGTAGCCTCCCCAGCCCCAACTCCAGACGGCGCCGTCAGCGGTGATCGCGAGGCTGTGGCTGCCTGCTGCCGACACAGCGACGACGCGCCGGCCAGCAAAGGCCTCGACCTTCTTGGGCAGCAGCTGGCTCTGCTCGTCGCCGTGGCCCAGCCGGCCAAAGAGTCCACCGCCCCAGCTCCAGACACTGCCGCCGGCGGTGAGGGCGAAGCTGTGCGCGAATGCTGCCGAGACAGCGACAACGCGCTGGCCAGCCAGGGCGTCGATCTTCTTTGGCTGCCACTGGTCCTCCACGTCGCCGTGGCCCGTGCCCGGTCCGCAACCCCAGGACCAAACGGTGCCGTCCGCGGAGAGAGCGAGGCTGAAAAGTCCTGACGCCGCCACACCAATCGCGCGCTCGCCTCCGAGGAGCGACGGGAGACGGGTCGGCGTCTTAAAGCTGCAGCACGCCCTCGCCGTGGCCGAGAAGGCCCGGAAAGTCCTCCTCGTCCTCCTCCTCGCCCTCCTCGCCCTCCTCGTCCTCCGCTGCCGTGCCGCACGACGAGAGCCGCCCCTCGCCGTCGATGAAGACGCTGTGCTGACCGCCTGCCGCCGCCCTCGCCGGCCGGTTGGACTCGTGCAGCAACGCAGCAAAGCACAGCCACCGCACGGCGCAGCTCTCGCCCTCTGGCTGCGGCGGCAGCTCGAAGCCGCGCTCTTGCGCCCACAAGCGGATGCCCTCCTCCGCAAGCGAGGCGTGGAAGAGCAGCGAGACGGCCGCGACGCGAGCGATGTCGGCGGGGTCGCAGCGAGAGAGGGCGCGCACGAGGAGCTCCGTGGGGAGGTCGAGGAGGCGGGTGGGCGGCGGCGTGCTTGGCGAGGCCGCGGCGGTGGCGACGGAGGTCAGGCGGCGCGAGCGGCGCGAGCTGCGCCCGGCCGTTTTTTGGACATCGCGCGAAACGCTAAAATCCGTCACTTTCTAATTCTTTTCTTCGACCCCGCCGCGAGCTACTCTCGTGACATCTCTTCACCTTCACACTGGTCGAGTCATGGGTGATGCGAGGGCGCTCACTTAATTGATTAATTCACTCATTAATTCCGGGTAATCTTAATTATTAATCATCGGGCGGGGCGCGGCGCGGCGGCTGCGCGAGGCGGCGGCGCGGCGCGGCGGCGGGCGGCGCGGAGCGGGGCGGCGAGACCAGCTACTGAACGGACTACCTAGCTGGTCTTTGAGTCGGCGCAATGGTAGCGCCGCCCTCGACTCAAGGGGCTGCCTTCCACATGTCGCTGCTCAGGCCGGGGGAGGGGGGGAGACCTCCTGTTCCTCGCGGAACGGGAGCAGGCCCCTCCTTGCCCGGTCTGCGAAGCAGGGCGGTGGTCGTGCGATCTTCGCTTCACAACGACCACGCCGCAATCGTCGCCGGCGCGCGACACGTTTCCGTTGGCGGGACTGTCCTGGTCGAGAGTGTGTGCCGCCGAGGCGGGACCACTCGGGGACAGTGCTGACGGGACGCGGCTTGGGAGACGACTCCCGCGAAAGCACGGCTGGCATCCGTGGCGTGGGGCTCGCCTCCGAAAAGTCGGGCATGGCTCTCCCCGCAACTCTCTTGCTAACACGCGCGCCCCACCGAGACTGTGGTGGGCGCGCTGCGGCCGCACGTCTACCTCCGTCATAGTGCCACGACGTGCGGCCTAGATTTAGCACACGCGCCTCAGCTTGCATACACTCATACATTGGATTGTCATCGCCTGTGAGTGCGAGAAGGGCTAGCCGCAGGCAGCTAGCCCATGAGGAGAGCGTCCATAGACACATCACTAGACCCCACATACGGTCTCGTCCGTGCCTCGCAGGCCGGTGAGATTGCTAGAGGTGGAGCAAGCTGCTCTAGCCTCACATGTCACTTCCTGTCGTCTGTTGTTTGAGTTGTGCCCTTGTTTGTGCCCTTGGCACCGTGGAGTGCTGGGGGGGGCGACAGGGAGGATGTGGCCCTGAGTTATGTGTACGCCGACTCAGGGTGTGTGGCAGCCCGCTGGCTGTGTGTCTTGTGAGCCTGTTTGTGTCTGTGTGTCGCTCGTGCGTGTCGTCATCATCTGTCCAGCGTCCACCCATACCGCGTTGGTGTCCAGTCCGAGCCTGGCTGTTCTTCACCTTTCTACCTACCTACCTACTCTCGTGAGGCTGTGAAAGCACGCCCACCCTAGCGGGATTGCCCCCGAAGGCAAGTGCGTCTGATTCACAGCTTAGGAGAGTAGCCGCGACCTCAGATACATCCCAGTCGTTGGTCGGACTGTGTTTCCCCTTCCCGTCAATCAATCAGATACATACATACATGGTGGCAAGCCTTCGCTCTCGACCCCCGCCCCCGCAAGCTCTTTACAGTGCAAGCAAAATCCGGCCAAATCTACACGCCGGACCGCGCTCCGCGGCACCGGGCGGATCAACCTGCCTCCCTTTCTAGTGTGTGCAGCAGGAACGCTACCGCGCGCCACGCTCACGGCAAGGGCAAGGCGCTCTCGGGACTCAGCCTATACGGCGCACGCCCTTTTCACTTCGCCTTCTTGATGGTGATCGGCGCGGTGACCACTGCGTGGTTCACGTATTGGATGACGGCGGAGTCCTTGACAAACTGGAAGGTGCGCATGGGGTCGGCGAAGTCGAGGAGGAAGTTGACGTTCGCCCAGATCGCAAAGGCGCCGAGGTAGTACCAGCCGACAGAAACGACGGCGCGCGACAGCCGGTAAAGCGTGTCCTCATTGGTCGGCTCCACGGAGCAAATCGCGATGACCGCCGCGGTGTTGTTGATAAACAACTTGCCGGTGTTGCCCAGGACGGTGTCGATGAGAAACTTTACGTCGGGGGTGAAGCCAGCCATGAACGAGTCCACCTAAGGTTTTGCGTGCCATGCGTGCGTGCGTTACGTGTACGTGCACCACATGCACTATCGGGTGGTGAGGTCTGGTATGCACGCACCGCGTATTGCTCCATCATCTTGTCGCGGAGGAGGACGAGGGGCAACCCATACGAGATGGTATTGTTGATCGCCCACACGAGGAGGGGGGTGCCGAACCGTCCCTTTGGAATGAGCGCGTCCGTGTCGGGGAGGGCGGCGCCCGACTCTTTCCAGCCAAGGTACGAGAGGATGATGAAGGTCGTCCAGAGCACGATGTTGAAGTAGAGGCCTTCCTTCGGCATCGCCGCCGGCCAGTTGGGCAGGATCATGATCTCGCTGACCACGAACCACGCATGTGCCGGGATCGCCATGAAGCACAGGACGGAGCGAGCCTGGGAGGCGGGTGCTTCCGAGCGGCGTGAGGGAGAGCGCTACCTTGTGGCTGCGCTATACAGGGCTTGGAGTGCCACTGCGCCTTTTGCGAGACACCCTCGCGGGCGAAGTTGATGCATAGCGCAGCAGTGAAGATGGCTTGGATCCCCATGATGGCGAACATGTTGTAGGCGACCGATTTCTGCTTGACCTCGTCGCAGACCGGAGCGCCGCGAGGCTGCTTTGCCGGGCACTCAAAGAAGTCGATGCCGTACGCGCCGAGGATGTTGGCGGGGAAGGTCGTCAGCATCGTGCCGATGAACAACCCCCACGCGCCCATAGCGGACAGTGCAATCTTCGCGGTAGGCATGGCACCTGCGTTTCGCAGCCGCAGCGGCGGTGATGGTCACTCTCAATAGTCTCCCACTCGCCGGTTTGCGGCAATATTCGCGGTGTGAGCAGCAAGTGTGCAGGAGTGGTGAGAACGGATTGCTAGAGGTGGCCGTGCCCGGAGGCAAATGTTACATGAGGCCTGCTGAGTGCTGATCCTTCTGCTGTTCTTGCAGCTCATTCCTCGTCCCCCTGTGCTCTCGAGGTTTCGAGCGGTGTTAGCCGTCGCCCACCCTTGGGCGCCTGCCTCTTCCTATCTCTCTTCGCAGTGTCCCGCCGACCGATTCTTTCTCGCACACAGCACCGGTGTGCCTTCCATTTCACAGTGCTCAGTGGCACAGCCCGCGTTACACAATCTTGCTTGATTTTGGTCATTTGCGCCATTTGGTACCTCTCGGCGCCTTCCAGAGGCAGCTGCGACCCCGCTGAATAGACGGGGGCACTCGGCAGGTGGCGCGGTGTGCGCCCGTCCACTCGGCGGGGTCTCAGCTGCCTCTGCGCGTCCTGGGGAGGTACCAAATTGTCGCCGCCGGAGACGACTCGACGCCGCTGAGTCCTGAGATCGGAGATCAAGCTCTGACAGGTCGCACGTCGCTCCTTTGACGCCGACGTGACTCACCCGTGCAGACCACGCAGCAACCTCTCCGGCACCCGCTGTACTTACTGCTGAGCTCCCGATCGATGGATGGCAGTCACCCGCCTGCTTTTGCTGGCTGGGCTTTCTTCCGATTTTATTATCTCTCTCCAGCGTGCCGTCGTCTCCTGTCCAGTCCAGCCAGTCCGCGCCTGGTTGTCCAGTCCGTTCGGCGGGCGCGCGTGCGGCAACAGTGGCTCAATTGTCAATCAAGTTTGCGTTTGTCGGGATGACGAACGCGGCCGTGCTTGCGCACTCGCCTCGCCACGACGAATCCACCGCGTCCACAATCCTCTCCCCGAGGCAAGAAACAAAACAAACAGAGCTTAATTGTGCGACCAACACGGGCGTCGGTGGGGCCATTCTCAGCGGCTTTGCGCTGGACCAGATCGATTGGATGGCCAAGCCGGATGACCCGGGATCTTACGGGGCTGCGATCGCCTTCTTCGTCAGCGCAGAGCTGTCGCTGCTCTCTGCCATCGCATCAGCCTCCATCTATCGCCGCCTCAACTCTCTGTCCTCCAGTGCCGTGGAAGAGTTTGTCGAGCAGCACGCCTGGCTTCTGAATGGCCCGTGGTGGCTTTTCCTCGCCGGCGGCACTAGCTTCTTGGTCGGCATGGCATCAAGCGCCTTTATGAATGATACCGATCTCGGCCTCAGGTGCATCGGAGCAGTCACTGCCGGGATCACCACTTGCGGCTTGATGTGCTTTGCACACGCGAGCAGCGACAGCGGGATGCTAGGGACGATTAGGCGGCCGCCGAGACGAGGAGACGCCCCCCTCAGCCCCATCCAGCGCGTCGTCTCGTCCCCCTCACACGGTTAGAGAGCAATGGTCATTGGGCGGCATATGAGATCCTCATAAACGAAAGATATCAAGAGATCCTCAACGCGCAGTGTCGCAAATATAGGCATGTAGGGGAACGCACACAGCTCCGCCCCGGACTCAGTAAAGCCGTACAGACACATGCCTCGGCGCGCACAATACACAGCGACCGCTACGACGACTGAGGAGCATGCCAAGAGGCGGCCTCCCCTGCCCCGCGTCACCTAGGCGCCTCCGGCCCCGCGTGCGGCGGCTCGAGGCCGTCGGGCCCCGGCGCAGTCATCAGTGGCTGCTGCAGCGCCTCGGCGCGTGGACCGACCAGCGGCCGGCGGCGGCAGGACGAGGCGCACGCGAGCAACGGCGTGACAACCACCATGGTGCAGTTCAGGGCGAGGAGCGCCGCCGCGGTGGCGACGCCGAGCGCCTCCAGCCGCGCTTTCGTCCGTTGCGCCGCCCATTGCAACCGCGTGGAGTCGGCCAGGTCCGGCCAGGTCGCCGCATTCTCCGCCACAAGGGCGAGGGCGGCAAAAATGGCGAAAGCGGCGGAGAGGGCGTCGAGGCAGGCGCAGCAGCGTCGGCGCGTCGGCGGGCTATAATCCGTCGACCACTCGTAGACTCCCAGGAGAAGCATCGCGCCGACCGAGCTGGAGAGCGCCATGCCGAGAATGAAGAGGAGAGGCGGCGCGAGGGCAAAGGCGGCCGGGAGGCTCCTCATCTCGAGAACGTAGGTTGCGAGAAGGCTCACCTCCATGGCGCAGTCCAGGTCGAGCGCGCTCAGCAGACCGATGAGAAGGACCGATGTCGGGGTGCCCGCCGCGGCAAAGACCCGAAAGCAGCAACCGCAGAGCCTCTCGCCGCCCAGGCCGACGAGGATGATCGCGCCGACGCACGGGGCGAGCGCGCCTGAAATGCGCGCGGCGTGGACCAGTCCCACCCCGCCCACTTGGACGCCCGCGATGGTGCCGCAGGCGCACCCCATGACCAATGCGCCATGGCCGAGCGAAAGGATTACCCCGACGGCAGAGCGCCACGGTCCGACGCCCGAGGGCCGCTGGACGACAGCGGCGACCAGGGCGAGCGTGTCGGCGCGGATTCCTCGCCGCAGGCCGACGCTGCACGCGAGCAGCGCCTGCACGGCCATCTCTGGCGCCGTCGCCTGCGGGCGTGTCGTGCGGGACACGTCAGGTTAGGTGCTGGTTAGGTGTCGTGGGCGAAGGCTAAGTTGAGTGAGTCTGAGGAGGGGAGCTCAGCGGACAGTGCGGAAGGTTCCGGGGCGCAGCAACGTGGTGGGGCCGGCGGCGGCGAGGAAGAGTCCCGGGGAGCGGCACGCACCACCACGCCCAGGAGAGCAGCAACCACAAGGAGCAGGGCAACGCCAGAGGCGTGCGCGGCGCCCGAAGTGAGGTTGAGGATCGCCGACTCGGACGACCGGGTCCTCAAGCCGACGAGGCGCCGCGAATCGCCTCGCCCTCGCGTGCCCGAGTGCATATCGGTGAGGGGCCGGAGCCGGCGGGCGGCGTCGCCGGCCCGCTGAAAAGATGCTGCGAAACGCTTTTCTTTTCCTTAACGGAGTCGCTTAGGCGGCTCCGGTGGTGAGCCGGTGTGTGTGCCAGTCCGCGCCAGTCCGCGCCCTTGTCGTGCCAGTGTCCTGCCCCATTAGAATTCTTTTCCTTTGCAAGCGGCGCCGAGGGTAAAAGACACGAGAGCGCTGCCCCGGCCCGCCTCCATTCCCGGGGCACCAGCCAGCCCCACCTCCGGGCGCACGCGGCCCTCGCGTCCCGGCGCCCACGCCCGCCCCCTCGCGCGGTGCTCGCGCCACCGTGCCACATCGCACGCCTTGCGCCGCTCACACCGCGCACGCCTGGTGCTGCAGGGGAGAGCCACTACTGCGCGGGCGGACGCAGGAATGGGGGGAGAGGGTGGCCCCTGCGTGAGGGGGGGCAAGAGGGCGCGCGCGCCGTCCCCGGGCGCGGCGCTTGCGGCGGACTCGCTCCAGATGCTCGGGAGCGCGCGGACCGAAAAGAGGAAGAGGAGCGTCTCTTTCTCGCACGTCTCGATCCGGTCGCACTTGCTCGAGCTGTGGGGCGGCGGCGGCGTGCCGGGAGACGGCGGCGCACCGCTCGGGCTGGGGTGCGCGCGCCGCCCCCTCACTCTTCCCATGCCTCTCGGGACGGCCGGGAAGGGCGCAACTCTTGCGGGGGGGGGAGGGGGGAAGGGGGAAGGGGTGGGACTCTTGACGCGCTCCCCCGCCTCTCCCTGCGGTCAGGTGGACTGTGGCGGGGGAGCGGCGCGTGGCGATCGACGACTTTGAAGAGACGCGCCGGTCGACGCGCCGCGTCAAGGAGGAGTACGGCTCGCTCGGCTGCGTCGAGGCGCACTACTCTCCCTCCCCCTTCCTCCCTCGTGTCCGCGGATATTCTCGTCCTCCCCGGCCTTTCAGCTGCTGTCGGACCACGCTGGTCGCTGCTCGGTAGTCTTCCCCTGCTGCTCCGGGCTTCCATTGTG